GGTTTAAGATTGAATTCCTCAACATTCTGCTTCTTGTGTAAGTGTTAAATTGTATAACTTTTTGTGACTCAATAGGAGAAAATAAGATTTTATAAAGAGACGCTCTGTTTAGCATGGTTCGCAATGACTGTATCAATACAAGTTTTTAAAATAGAAGCACTTAGCATTTAAGACATAGGTGTGAAAAAGTGTATTAGGCATCAGTAAAATTCACTATAATCTAAACTTGGCACAGCAAAGGAGAGAGGAATATCACTGTAAAATATTACTTCTAGAAGAAGCCATTGTTTCTGACACAATGAGTGCACAGGCAGACGACAAACAACAGCCCACCACAAACTCTGTTAGTGGGATTGGAGAATCACCAACCTGGCGCATCAATTCAAGGGGTCCCGTTGGACTGCATCCCGAGTCATTTTCCACGAGTCCCACTCAAAGTACGCAGTTAGAGACACTGAGAGACTATATCAAGTTATAGGAGGTGATGGACTGAGCCTTAAGAGGATATTTTCATGGTTTGTCCACATTCTAATTGTAGGTATGTAACTTTTATGATGTTTTTGAACTGGTCTTATTGGTGTCTGCTCCATCAGTTGTTAATAAAGTTCCCCTCTTCAGCTCCAGGGCCCAGGTCTGGCTACTGTTGTGTTAGAACCAAGTCTCCAGCTCCGCAGCCAAGCAGCAGTCCAGGCCTGAGCGAGTGCCAGAGGACAGACCAGAGGAGGAGCGAAGAGCACCAACTCTCCCAAAGAGGCAGGAGAGACGCCAAAGCCATTCCACAACATGTGCTGACATTAAACATTACTGCATATTACTTTCCATACGTATTGCAACTCAGCGCTTTTGCTCGAGCCCACAAAGAGGCAGTAGAAAGGCTCTTTGTCTTTGTGCTGTCTGACTATTAATTTGCGATTCTCATATTTCATCTTTCCATTCCACTGGTGGAGATACGTGAAGGGGAATTGCATCCTGCCAAAGACCGATCAAGGAGGAAAAATCTAAAGGTTTCCACATCTACTACTTTTAATTTTCCAAGATTTTTGCCTTGGAAGTTTGCACATGAAATCACATATTCACTGTAGAATTGACAGGCGGATTTAAATAATATACAGCGCATAATAGCTCTGGTGACATGTATGGCAAAAGGCATTACAAACTGCAGTCTATCAGCATACAATCGGAACACATCACAGTCAGAGGAATTTTCGTGTAAGAAAACTCCATTATGTTACCGTCAAGGAAACATTTTGGACAGAAGCACCAATGACTAATAACAATAAATCAGCCACTGACCAAAGGCAAGATTCAAGATTTTTTTGTCACAATAAACTCTTAACAGTCAAGTCAACAAAATCGTTCATTTGTGCTTATTGTGTTTATTATACCAATTAAGATTTATTCAAAGATAACAGTTTTAATTTACTTTTGGATTGCCCATATCTAGTTTCCTTGTGATAACATCTGCAAATTAATACCAGTCACAATAACAACACACATAAAAACACTTTATTTTCTTACCAGATACAATGATTTGTAGTATTCCTATGATAACATCAAACACCTGATCCCTTAGACACAACAGCAGATGAGAGACAGAGGAAAGGCAGAAGGAGGGAGGAGTGTGTGTGTATGTGTGTGTGTACTGTCGCCAGGTGGTTTCATTTACCTTGAGCTTCTATGGAGGAGAGCAGAGCTGCAAAGAAGGCAGCTGCGGCCAGTGACAGCCCTATCTTCATGTTTAGCCCTTTATATCGTCAGCAGTGCATCAATCAGTCTGAGGATAAAGGAAAGAGAGATGTGTTAGGGCCATAGTGTGGCTTAGAGTCTAAACACTGGTCTAAGAGCCACGGGATCAGCTGGAGCAACATGAAAGGATCAAGACAAGACAATAAACCACTTCAGCAAGCAGACAACGCCTCTGAATGTGTCTCACCAAAGCATTTCACCTCAGTTTGATCAGATTAATAGATCTACTATACTGTTATTAGCTCAAAAAAGGAGCTCCAGACTTACATAACACATGCCACACCTTACACCCAGCAGATGCCAATACTTCAATCAAAAATAAGAATTTGTACTGTTGCAATCTAATCTTGTCCAGAGAATTCTTAATTTTTACACATTTTAAACAGATAAAACTTTTAGACTTGAATACAACAATCACTCTCAAGTAACGTAATAGCAAATAAAATGTGATTCAATCTACAATCTACCTTATATTTTAGTTGCTATAAATTGTTATATCTCCAAGCAGTCATATTCACAACTTCTTTGCTATCGTTCAAACCCATACTTCCACATACAGCAGACATAGTGCACCGCCTAGTGTTTGGAACAAGAACTGCAAGAGCTCTTCAAGTCTCCCCTCTTTGTCATAGCCCAAATTCACTAATTGCAAATCCAGACTTCTTTGTGAAAAACGCTATCTGCTTTCACACACTGCGTTGCACAAACAAAGATAAAGATTTCAATTCAATTCAAGATCAATAAAAAATAAAATAAAATAAAAAAATAAAAAAAAACTTCCGACAAAACTTAATTAAACCTAATTGCCGTCATGAGAGGATTTAAGTGATCTAGAAAAAAATTCAAACGCACTTTAAAGTTAGAAATAAAAATCTCGCTTTAAAGACAAATTAGGTTAAACTACTCACCGTTAACCCCCAAAATGAACGGAGCAGAGAAGATCGCTGCAGCTCGGAGCCTGCCCCTGTGCAGAGTACAAGTGTGAGGAGACTGTGCGCCGGGACCCCTCTCTCCCTCACTGCTACTGGAAGCTCCGCCACAGATGTCCAAGAAGGAAAAGCCTCTTTCCAAGTGGGAAGAATCTTTCCACCAGCGGCTACTTAATAGGGGGCAGATCCCAAAATCTCAATTTACCATGGAAGTTCCAAACCTTTTCCTGTATGTGGATGTGCGTGCCCCCTGATGTCATTCAGGATGCCTTCTTTGGAAATGGTTTAGGCTGCATACTTTAGAGTCTGATCACTTATGAGGGGATGGAGAGGAGATAGAAAGACACCACTTGTTGATTACAATCATCCCGAAGTAATACGGGAAATGTCGCTTGGTTTGCTAGCCATTATTTTACTAAGCTACATTAAAAAGTAGTAAACAAAAACAAGTAGCAAACATAATGGGACGTAACTTTGAGAAACCTGCTCTGTCTGGTGATCCTAAGCAGCAGTTAAGATTTCATTTTTCTAGAGATGTGGCATAGATGGATTTGATTTATTTGGCGCCTCGTAGTGTTGAATGTCATTTACTACACGTAAGCTAAAGTATTTACCCAGAATCGTCCTGATGTTTCCTATTTTATTTTCGTTTCAGACTACTATACTTTATGATGCTGGCAAAACCTAATCTTGATGACACAGTCTCCCAATGAAGAGAAAACGTAGGGTAAAAACAGAATAGGCATATAAGACAATGGAGCACAGAAAGACTGCATCCTGGACATGAAGACATGTTTTTAAAGTTATGATTCTTAGAAAAGAATATTAAGAGAATCATCGATTGTAGTTTGAACGCAGCAGGAACAAACATTTGTGAAGAAATATTGCCCTCTGGTGGTTATTGGTTAAATTGCACCCGTTTGTTAGTGAGTAGATTACATCTTGATGGTCTGCTTATGTTGGGGTATCCTGCAGGTGAATGCACAATCAATTAATCATCAGCTATACTTTTAAATGTGTACATGGTTCAAATGCCCTTGCACAAACACTGCTGTGATTTGCCTCTATTTGTGACAGGTCATCCCAGCAGCAGTGATTACAACAGTACTGTAAAGACTATAACTTTTATTTAACCATTACTGTGCCCATGTACAGTGTTGGGGAGTAACGGATTACATGTACCGCCGTTACGTAATCAGAGTACAAATTATGAGTAACTGTATTCCGTTACAGTTACTGTTTCAATGAGTGGTAATTGGATTACAGTTACTTTGCTGAAATAAGTGGATTACAAGGCGGTATTTTCCTGTTTTCACATTTTGTGCTACATCCCATTTATTTATTTATTTTATTTCGGTAATTTCACTCATTGCCTGAAGCCCAAACAGAACGCGCGCAATAAGACCGATGTAAACGTCATATTAAAGTTGGCGGTGTCAGTCACACAGTGGAAGCAGCAGTGCATTGGTAAAAACGCATTTGTGTCTTGGAAATTCTTCTCCCGATGTGAGATATATATATTTAAAAAAAAACAAATATAAAATCGCCTACAACTTAAATGTGAAACAGGAGCTACTGGCACTGGTGAAAACAACCTGCATAGACTCATAATATCTGCACTACTGTCCTATAATGACCTGCCACATTAGGGGACACACACACACAAACACACACAAACACAAACACACACAAACACCTTCATCATCGTCATCAACCTGAGAACCCGCGGACCACTTCTCCTTCCGTAGTTACAGCGCGGACACCGCCGTCTCGTGCGCCGCGTGTGGACCGTGTTTTCTCGCGTAAACCGCACTTCCTCCTGTGCGCCTCTAAACCAGAACTAACACCAGGACTAACACCAGGACTAAAGCAGGACTGAACCAGGTTTAAACTAGGACTATTTTTTTAATATGGTGAAGGAAAGGCTGATCTTGTTATTGTCTTTTAACAGACAAAACCTCTTATATTAAGATATCATGGTCTTTGTTTCTCTACAGCAAACAGTTGCTTATTCATGGAGACTTGGGCTCAGACAAATTGAAGACAACAAACACGAATTTTGAGGATGTGGTTGCTACATTCATGTCGTTTAAAAAAACATGACAATATCAAGTAATCCAAAGTAATCAGATTACGTTACTCACTTTAAGTAATTTAATGGATTACGTTACAAATTACATTTTGGGGTGTGTAATATGTAATCTGTAGGGGATTACATTCTAAAAGTAACCTTCCCAACACTGCCCATGTACCACATAATCTTACTTATAACATCTCTTTGGATGTAAACCTTTGATTAGGCATGTTACAGAGAGATTCAGAAAATTATCTCAAATACTTTAATCATCAGCAGAAAAAAATATCAACCCATTACACCACACACATCTTTCAAATGATAAATACATGCATAACAATGAACTTTTAAGGGTTGGTTAACTTAACAAAGAGAGTTAATGAGGGGGCGTACAGGTGGTTTAAAAAATAAAAATGTTGAAACACTTCAAAAGTAAAAAAAAACAAACAAAAAACATGTGGATCTGATACAAACAAGGTAGCCGACCATTAACCCTGCTGCTTTCTGAGATGATTCAGAACACAGTAAACATTTTTATGCAGTTAGATTTTTTTTTTATTGAATGTTGTTTTAAGTAGCTCTGAATAGAAATGCTTACTAAATATTTTTTGAAGCTTTGTGTGACTCATTCAATGCATTTCAAACTAACAGAATTGGATACCTTTTATTCAACATTCTCAAATGATAATTTAAAGACATGCACAAATACACTTCAAGTGCATGTGTTTTGGTCAACATTCAGTTATACCTGACAATTAATTTAGAATTAAGATACATTTGAAAATATTACCATATGACCCTAACGTGCTGCATTAAGCTCAAGCATAAAACATCGACTCCTTCCCAGCCATAAGCAAACTGTCCTAAATAGATTATGTGCATTTATGTACTACAATATAGATATTTCTGTTTTTTCTAAGAGAGGTATATGGACTTCTGAGGCTTCAGCAGGGTGCAATACAGTGCTGGACAAAATTTCAATAAAATACATACATCCTTCAAGAATGGTTTCTAAAGTAAAATGTACAACTTTCAACAGAAAAGGCTGGGGTTAACATTCTTAGCAGCTCGCTTGGCATCCTTCTAGCTGAAAATATAATTACTGTAACAAAAGTTAGCATGAGGCGCATTCAGCGAACACGACATACATTTGGAGACCAGTGTATCCACATTCAGCTGTATATAAGGTAATTTAATGGTCCACCCGGGCATGCACAACAAAGTACTTAATTTGGAATATCAGCACTGGTGTTACGGTTGTCATATTTGTGGTGAATGATTAGTAAAACAACTCCCAGGAAGAAGCAGATGGAGCCAACTGTAATGTAAGCAATTCCAAGAAAAGGATTCTTCCCTCCCATCCAAGAGATTGTGCTCAGAATCATCCGCTTGCGACCGTCAAAGCTGAGCACAGGGTAATCTGATTTTAGTGGGTTAAGAAAAAAGAAAACAAAAGTATCACATTTATACACATGTTACGCCTACGTTTATTTGGAGAAGTAGCAATTTATGTCTACATACTGATTAAATCTACAGGGCACTCTATGTAACAAGAGAGAAACTTTTACCCATTTCACTGAAATATTGAATTGATTTCACTGATTACCAGTACCAGTATTAAACCTCTCATCTGCTCAAAAGTAATAAACTGCAAAACTGTCTGATTTGTACTAACAAACATGAATGCACAATATTATTCTGAAAGGATACTGTAGGTGATTGACAGAATGTATCTGCCGCTGGGGAGCGTGGGGGTTGTGCTGGACTTCTTCTGGATGATGCGGTAGAGTTTGCGGAACGTGGGCAAAGCTGCTGTTCTCATCCACACAATGAAGTCCTCATTGATAAAGCCATTGTTCTCTGGGTCTGATGGGTCCAGCTCAAACACCGGTTTTCTCCAGTTCACTGGTTTAGAAGTGCCTAAGACCAAACACAGATCATGTTACAATCAGGCTGAATTCAAGTTTTCATTCATTAAATAGCACAATCCAGGTACCTTGAAAAGCAATAGTGAGGTTGTTGTTTCCATTTGGATTTCTAAACTTCACATGTTTGTCTGTCCACCAAGCAATGCCCTTCTTTACCAGAGGAATTTCAATCTTTGAGGCACTAGAGTTAACATAATACAACTCCAAAGTATCTAAAGAAGAAAATTAACTATATAAAATCCAAATACATGTATTAACGTTTTAATATGTGTAAGCAATGACACTTACCATTAAAAAGGCTGTTTGCAATGGCCCCACATGGAGCAATAGGCAGGCCATCACTTGTGCGATATGGTTCACATTCTTTGCTTGGCTCCTGATATTAAACATAATTCATCATATTATTAGCACATTTAGTCTTTAATCTATTTTACTGCTGAGTGTAAAAACAAAAGTGTACCTTTAAAGCTGCCAGATCCCCATTCAACTGGCTGTCATCCCTGGATTTCACATATCTTCTGTGATTTTGGTAGAAATTGGATAAGCCATAATACATAAATACATTACTCTGTAAGAAAAAAAGCACATAGTATAGCATAGTTAGCACAGACTTAAGACAAACATCCTTGTTTAACTACAGCATTTGTTTAGGCCATCCTCACTTGTAACATTAGAATTGGCTCAACTGAACTTTCGAATGAAGCTGGTTTAAAGGGCACAGTGTTTATTAAAAATCAAT